TCTTTACAAAATTAAAAATGAGATTTTCTTTGTTTTCCTTTGTCGTCATAAGGAATATTTTTCTTTGAAATACTAGAAAAAACATTCGTTTTCAGAGCGAATTTTGCAGATGGAAAGAAACATGACGGGCTGAAATAGATGACTCTATTTCTGAAACATCCAGGTCGATTTCTGTTTCAAATACAAACGCAGGATTTTTCTATATCCGTTTTTGTTTTGTTCTGTTTCGCTTGTACATCGGTGAAGCTTGAAAACTATTTGCGTTTCTTTTCTACAACATTAGATATCCGTTACCTGATGTTCCAACGGAATGGAATGATGACGAAAGTGAATGGGATGATGAAAATGAAGATACATCAGAAGATCTACTTGACGAAGACGATCAATTGGCAACCGTGACTAATGGCGATCTCAACGAAGAAGAACGGTGTTTATTGAATATGCAAGTGAACGAGGATGAAGTTGATTTGGTCGATGATGGAAGCATGAACGATTCACTTGTTTTATCGCTTCTCGGTCCTGCCGTTACGGCATCAACTGTTACACAAGATCCAGACGATTTGTATAATTTGCTGATCAATGTCAATGATCTACTTATTCGTGTTCGTAAACTTATCAAATACATTCGACGGTCAAGTCTTATAGATTCTTATCTATGTGAGCAAATGGCTGCTATTGATAGAGTCAAAGGACTTGTTTGCGACTTTCATGTGAGATGGAACAGTACATCATTGATGATTAAACGTTTTCTTATGCACAAAGATGCAATCATGAAAATTGTCTCCTCACCCGAACGTATTGCTGGTCTTCTCCAGGAACAGAAGATTACGTTAAAGAGTTTCGCTATTTCTCCCTTGGATTGGGAATTGCTCGAAGCACTTCATATCGCACTGGAACCGTTCGTTTTCGCTACTCAGATCCTGTCAGGTCGTCTTTATCCTACTATTGGCATTGGTCATTTTGTTTATCGAACACTTGAACATTTTCTCGAAGAGAAAGGTTTGAATTCTCCACTGATGACGTTGATCAAGAAGAATTTGCGTTATCATTTCAGTGTTTATTTCAATGTCAAGATATCTAGTTCGCAGCACAAATATATGCTAGTAAGACAACTCTCACAAGATATTCAAAAGATACTTTGTTTTGTTGATCGAGAAATCTCCACTGGAAAACTTCGTAAGATCTAGTCCGATGGATCAAATAATTGTGACTAAATCATGTTTGTTTCATGAAACATCATTTTTTCTGTCAAACAGCGCCCGTTTTCGAGTGTACTGGCGCACAATGATACTTTTTTCTTTTGTTCATCTGTCTAGATTGCTGCATTCTTGGAACCATCTGTGTATCATCGACTCAGCGAAACTGATCGTCGATCGGTAAGAAACTAATTATTGCGGAAATGAAACTCATTCAGTTGCCAGACCCAATACATTCGCCTACAACGCGTTCTACCAAATCAACAGCCCTCAACGTGCTCGATACGTTCAGAAATCTGTGTGGCCTCAATGTATCAACGAATCTGCCCGCCAAAAAAGGACAAAGTATAGACGAAGAACTGAGTTGCTACATTAAAGCAGCGCAGGTTGGCGGTCAATTTCAGCAGTTTTGGAACCAGCATAAAACTATGTTGCCCCGTCTTGCTCAAATCGTCCGACGCTTCAATATTGTGCCATCAACATCGGTGGCAAGCGAAGCCGCTTTTAGTGTAGCCGGTTTTGTTAATAGAAAACAAAGATCTTCTCTTTCTTCGACGTCGATCCGCTGCTGTATGGTTCTCAAAGATAAACATATGGTTCAGAAACTGATACCAAAGGTCTAATCCGAAAACTGTACTCGTTTTTCTTACGTATGAAACTTTTTTTGCTTATCATTCAAGCCATTTCTCTCTCTCTCACTGATTTTGTATTTTCCAACCCATGCTCTTGTTCGTTGGCTAGAGTCGGACATGTCACTTGTTTTTCAGAATGAAAGAAAACTGTGGCAAATAAAGACTGTTTTTACTGCTCAGATTTTTTGTTGACAAACCTACAATCATCTTCAATGACCAAGAATGCAATCGAACAGTTTGATTTTTAAAGACAATATGTTATTTATGTGACTATTCCAACAGCCTGTTTGACGTCAAAACTAGCAGAAAAATTTCATCTAGTTCTCATGCGCACTCCAATAGAGCAGATCCAAGCGCTGCTATTTTTTTGAAGAAGTTAGTAGTTACAAGCCGTTAGACTAACTACTAACTGACTAACTGTTTAAGTTAGTGGTTAGACTAACTACTAACCCTTCTAGTTAGTAGTTTGACTAACTGACTAACTATTTCAGTTCATAGTTTAAATAACTACTAACTGTTTTCGTTAGTAGTTAGAACAAACTTAACGAAACTCCGACAGCCCTAGACAAAAGTATCATTCAAGAAACATGGGGAATATTTGTTATCGTATCACAACAGAAGATTCGAAGAGCATTATTCGTTTATGTATATTGTATTTAATATGATTCAAAGACGAGATGCATGTCAACAAGCTCGGCTAATTGTATCAAGGCCATATTTTAAAGATTATGCAAGCCAGATTCAGTCATTAACAACCAAAGATCTACGAGTGGCATTAACAAGTATCGTAAGTAAAACCTATTCATCAAAAGCTAATCCATGTTTAGACATACTACTAAAACAAGTCAAAGCTGTTGCCGGTCATGTTATGGGTTCAGATCACTCCCGTGCTGAATTAAGAATCGAAATACATTCGTTAATATACAAACTAGGTCTACCAAGTATATTTATAACAATAAATCCAGCTGATATACACAGTCCTATGGCTATGTATTTTGCTGGTGTTAACATGGATATTGATGAAATACTATCGAATAATTTCCCATTAACTGTTCGAAAACGAGCACAACTTATTGCATCACATTCTGCAGCAACGGCCAAATTTTTTAATCGTTTAATTCAAACAGTCATTGCCACAATGATTAGCGGTGAAGGTGTACTTGGTTCGACAAAAGCTTATTATGGTACAGTTGAAAGTTCTAATCGTGGTTCTTTACACTTACATATGTTGATATGGTTGGATCACGAGTATGCGCCAGCAGACGAGAAACAAATGATTAAAGATAAAGAATTTAGAAAGAATTTAATTGAATACTTAGAAGATATTATTAAAGAAGATCTTGACCAGTTTCAAAGTCAGTATTCACCAACAAACGCCGCTCTCTTACTTATCGTTTCGTGCTGCTTCTGCATATCCTTCGTTTATAAATAGATGACCGGAAATTTCTTCCAATCGACCCTACACAACCCGAACAGTTCAATTGTTTTATTAATTTAAAGCCTACACAAGAAAAGGATCATGACAACCTTTCAGATTTTGCAAAGAAAATATTAACAAGAAATTAGGTAAATGAATATTTCACCGCACTCGAAAACATAGTTACTTCATTTCTGCTTGTATAATTTCTAGCTAAACTAAGCCCAGCTTGTTTATTAACACCAAATCCATCTGCTCCAAATTTCGATGACTTATTGAAGAAAGATGCTGTGAGACTGGTCCAAGAAGGCAACATTCACAAACATACCGATACATGCTGGAAGTATTCAAAGTCGGACGAATGTCAAACATGTCGAATGAGAATGCCAAGGAAAATTATTAAACAGTCAAACATTAATGTCGACACAGGTGTGATAGAAATGAGACGAAACCATCCTTGGATTAACAATTTTAATGAATGGCTCATGACAGCAATTCGATGTAATATGGATATCAAGTATATATGGTCAGCATCAGATGCTAAAGCTCTAGTGTACTACATAACAGACTACGTAACAAAATCAAGCTTATCATTTTATGACACCTATGCATTGATGTTAAAAGGCCTGAAATCCATCGAAAATAGCGATATAAGAACAACAGACGTTCAAGAAAGATTGCGGCGTTTGGTTCTTCGATGTTATAATACCATCGCTAGTCAGCAAGAATTATCCGGTCCACAGGTGGCTTCATACCTCATGGGATGGCCGGATCACTATACAAACGAAAAATTCGTTAAGTTGTTTCTGATTGGCATTGAATGTCATCTACAATTATGTCTAGATGAACTTAAATCCAAGAATAATTTACAACTGGCTACAACTGATACTGATGAAGGTAAGTAGTTATTTTAAGAAAGCTTTTTGCTTCGTCCAGTTTCTGTAACTCTCTCTGTCTCTGTTTAGAGCTAGCAATTGTAGAAATTGATGATGCTGGAAATAAAGTTGATATTGAAAAGGAAGAAGAACAATTTATCCTTGAGCGCACAAATGATAAAACTACGTTTGCACTAGCAAATACACTAATCGATTATCAATATCGGCCGATTACGATTGAAAATGTTTGTCTTTACGACTTTGTTAGTGAATACTATCGAGAACGTATGAAATTCAAACACAGGGAATATTCAAAACAAGCCCACCAAGAATCACCGCCTGGCGCTGGGAGAGGACGTCCACGAAGCGAACGACTGACATTTACAAGTGATCATCCGCTACATTTATCACATTTATTAATGAAACGAACAAAGAATGTTCCAATTCCAGTACTTGTTGGACCACAAATACCGAGACAGAGTAGAGAAAAGACGAGAGAACAGTATTGCCGTGCTGTATTAATCTTATTCAAACTATGGAGAAAAGTTGGAAGATTTATGCTCTGTTAATCAAACATGGGATGAAGCATTTCGATTATACGAAGATAGCGTTTTGGATTCAGCACAAACAATCATCGATAATATTGAACTATTGCATGAATGCAAAGAAAAGCGTGATGCACATTTACTACAAATACTGGAACAAAGTGAAAGCGAAGGTGATATTGATTTAAATTTTGTCCCACAAAGAAAACTTAGAGCAAATGATGACAGTGATACAGATGATGTCGAGCTTCTTGAGTTATTACAATCATTTGATTCTGTGGATATACCATCAATGTTAACAAGTGATTCTTACATAAAAGAAGCCATACAGTGGATGGATAAAAGCAATCGATTTGAATACTGACAAAGTAAGTCCTTAGTTACATTGTGAAATGAAAGGCTGAACGAATTTGTTAATAACTTTATTTTAGGAGCTACAAGAATGGGATACTCGTCTAAAACAATAACGAACTCCACACAACGCTTGTCACATATTGCAAAAGCTAACGATAATCATAAGCGCCTTAATAAACGATGGAAGGCCGATATAAAAAAACAGAAACAAGATGTTCGAAGGGCTTTCCCAGAAGGAAAGGTGGACAACACTGAGAATCAGACACATAAGTTGAAAAACGACAATAAGAAACAAGTAACAGCCATAAAAATTAGCGAATTATGCCAAGATGATGACAACGATGATTATAACCGTTCAGTAGCACACATTCCATCTTTTACCTGTTTAAAAATGGCTTTTCCGCCTAATAGCCAAGTATCAACTCAGTTTAATTTAAACGCTTAACAACATCTAGCGTTTATGCTCATTGCAAGACATCTTGATGGTGAAAGTCATCTGAAACATGGTATACGACTAACACTAAAACTTTATTGAATAAAAACACCCCTTCATACTTCTTGTCTTTTAAGGTGAAGAACAAGAACAGCTTCTGACGTGCATACCGGGCACTGGTGGTACTGGTAAATCTCATTTAATCCAAGCAATAACAACATATTTTAAATTAACAAATCGAGAACGAGCGTTAAGGAAACTAGCTCCAACAGCTGTAGCTGCCAGTAACATTGACGGCCAAACAATTCACTCATTTCTGGTACCGGTTCAAGGTGTGCACGAAAGTGTGAGACCGGGTGAAAGTAAAGCAGAAAGAGAATGGCAAGATGTTGAATATGTA